TGTAATAAAGCCTCATGGCATTCGTACAACGTCTTGAAGTCCATTGGCCTTGTTGAACCATGCTTTTTGAATTTCTTCTTGGAGTACTCGTATAAAATTGAACCAGCTGGCTAGAACTAGGAATGCGAGCTTGTCCAATGTCACTGATGTTTGGAATTAGCTACTCATCGTCAATAGGGAATTTTCATGAGAAATAAATATGGCTTATTTTATTTTAATGGTGCAAATTTTTTTGTAAAATATTGAATATGAGCAGTTTTGTATTAAATTAATGGATATTATGGTCAGACGGCAATTATTAGTTTCGAATTGAAAAGTTTCGCGCGGAAAAGTTACGTTTAACATGGCCGCTTCCAGTGACGTCAACTGTTCGTAAACTAAGGTTAAGGGTAGTTTACACTGATCGTAAATCCATGGTTCACACTTTCGTGGTTCACTCTTGAGTCGTGGAACGATTGGTCCACGATCAGCTCACGTCACGCCACGACTTATATTGAACCACCATAAACGGGTCTAGAGGGAAGATTGTCAGACTGCGCTTTTCTAAATCCTGTATCAACCATGATGAACTATTTGAAACACATAATGTTACAATATGGCACTAAATACGGAAACACCACATGATAACCGCTTTCAATGCAGTCGAAGGATCCAGCAAAGCGATTCTTTCTGACAGTTTGCAAAATGTCAGAGGCTCTTGTGAGAACAGACCTTAACGTTGTGTTTATAGACAGTTGACGTCACAAGTTCCACCATCTTGAAGCTAATCGTCTTCGCGCCAACGAAAAAAATTTGAAATTTAAAATATTTTTTAAATTTTAATGAGAACATAAAACAAAAAAAGACCTATACATTTTATAAAATATGATTGTTCCATATTGTCTTTGAATTTACTTTTCTGTAGTCTACTGCAATGTGTCATTCAATTTTTTTAGAGGCATCTTAGGTGAATGACTAGGCTTGTCAAGCATTGATGAATTTCACTTCAACTTCTTCATTATAGACATGAGGGTAGCGATAAGACTTTGCAAACATTAGAAACTCATAAGTGGTGTTTTGTTAGATTCGTGGCAGTACAGGAGTGTCTGGATGTTGGAATATAACTTTCTCTTTGTCGTCGTGATTATTAATTCTTGAGGGCTGCTGAAAGGCTTCTGGGGTAAGATCTACTTTGGCCTTCAATAGTTTGAGGTTATTTAGGCTGAAGGTCTATTATAATCATTAAAGGTGCGATAGAATTTGGAAAGATAGAATTTCATTGACCATTTCAATTAAACTCGTTGAATATTGAAATCTGAGTGTAATAATCCTGGAATTGTATCCAATAAATGCAGGTTACGATAGTTGATTCATGTTGATTATTCGGAAAGTACTTAAGAGATACTTCTGGATTGATGAAAGACTAGTGGCTCCATTTTTGATAGAAAATTTCAAAGAGTAGATTTGAGATGGCAATATTCCGAACTTCAGTGTAACTGTGCAAATCTATCATGTTTCTCCGTTTGTTCTTCCCTCCTTTTGAAAATATGACAAACTATCTTCTTCAAATAGAAATGTTTGGGCATTTTCTTGAACATTTAAAATTTAAGTTTCAACACGAGGCATAAAACCACAATCGACCAATTAGAACCGTGCTTGCAGGTGCACGCCTGCAAACGACTGATCACGCATCTGGTGGTTTTCGGATAAAGATAACCTTTTCAAATAGCTACATACTCTATTTTCTCTATTTATAGCATCCATACTTCACTTTGTCGAGGGTCACCTGCCGCCAGGACTTCAGGAGTGTAACTCCTGTACAGACTTGATCACTATTTCACCTTACCAGATTACGAGCCAAGCTGAAAGTATCGGCGACATCGATAATTGAACTTCAATATGCGGATGATAACGTCCTGATGCTCTGCTTGTTCAGCTTGTCTTTTCTTCGTCCCTTTAGAATTTTGCCGTTCACCCTGATAGGTCGACTCTGGCCTGGGGGGCAGCCTTCTTCCTCAACTGTGATCACCGTTCTCGTGAAGAAAAATACCTTATCGGTCATCAGGCACTGTTTTAACGAAATAAAGTTGCGTAAGGCAATAATCCATTAAATACCGAAATCGAAAGTCTTGTGATTACGGTTTCATTTGACTTTGAATTTCAAACCCCCTCGTGGTAAGTCCTTTTTAATTTTTTTTAAAGTGATGGTTATTCATGGAATGCCTCTAATACTTAGGACTTTCGGATAAGCCGTTTCTCTCAACGAATCCCTTTCCAACAAGCCCACATTTTTAAAGATTACCATTTTCGTGAACCGTGAGCATAGAGCTTTTGAAGGGATTCCTAGAGGAATCAAGTCCCTCATGTATTGACTCTTGTACTTACACATTTGGCGATAACTGAGAAATTTCAGCCGCTCTCTACTTGGATTCAAGGCTAGAATTTGCAAATTCCATGTGCAACTTTCCTTGTCAAGTTACAGAAATTGAGTAGCTGGATGGCTACAGCAATCCACCCTGTGTTGGTATGGAGGCTTGTATAAAGTTTCATTTATAACTTTTAATACCTTTTTTTATGAAATCTACTCTACAATCAATCAGTAAAATTAATTGATTTTTTTCTAATATGACTTACATACACATTTATTTAAAATTTCACATTCTTGATACCGAGGTGATGGTGGAATATTTGATTTTCTGGATTTTCAATTTATCGAATTTATTATACATTTACCTTTACTTAACTTTCAATACATATTACCATATTTCAGGAATGTGAATTTTATTTTTTATAATCAATAATCTGAACTGAAGTCAAGGTTGGACAGCAAGCTCTAATTTTAAAGTTTTTGAGTAGGTACCTACCTACATCGTCGAAAATTGATCACTTTTTAACTTGGGTCCTATACATATATTTGAGGGTATCTATTATATCTCCTGGGATTTCATATAAGTGCAAATTGATTTCATCGAATTTATTTTTTAAGCAGAAGCTGACCATATTTATCAATAGAATTTTCAATTATTCATTTCTATTTAATTAGTTTTCTGGAAACTTAATTCCTCCATTATATTTTGAAATTATTCAATACCTGATGTTTGACCTCACTGTGAAAATATACTTATACTATTTTGATTTGAAAATTGCTCGAGTGTTTTATTGGTTTTACCTATGTCAAGATTTGGTTGAGTTACATGCCTTATTTATTTCCTTTTCAGAATTATCAATAACCGTTTGCTGATTATTTTTTTTAGGTGTGTTTTTGAATTTTCACACTTTATTTTTTAAATTCAGTAGCGCCCTTGTCATTCTGTACTTAATAAACTATTGACTTACCCATAATAATTATTATTCGCTGACCAAACTGAGCATATTATGGGCCTCCTTTTAATTTGTTAACGAAAGGGGTTACACTACAAGCAAATGCAACCATTGATGCTGAACTCCAACATCGCTTGAAAAGTGCTAACGCAGCGTTCGGGCGACTTCTAGTGTCTCAACAATCACGACATCAGCGCTGAGGCCAAACTTTGCGTTTAAAATGCAGTTGTAATACCAACAACACAACTTTGATGTATGGCTGCGAAACATTCATTACCTACAGACGATACATAAAAAGCCTATGAAATACCACCAGCGATACCTGAGAAGGATCTGCGGATCAAATGACAAGACCGACGCAGAAACATTAATATTTTAGAGGAGGCTAAGGGACGGTATTATAAAGCTGGTGAACCGAAGGTTGAGTTTCAACCAGCGGTCGAACTGACATTTCCGTATGATTTTATATGGATATTTCAGTTCAACCGCTGGTTCAAACTCAACCCTCGGTTCACTGACTGAGGAGTTGTTCTTAAAAATAATTATTCTTCTCGATTTTTATAAAAGCATTGTTGGTAGCTGAGTTCAATATAACTCGTCTGATGCTATAATCAGAAAACTTATACATTTTTTGAAGTCTCGTGGAGTTTGGTTGGGGCCTTAACTGAATGAACTTATTTTCCCTTTCTTCAGAAGTTCTGGAACAAGGTTTCCCTGACAATGAAAAAATCCTTGCAATCATAGAATAGAATCGCTTATTAAGCTAGCCTATTTATTTTGCCAAGAATTCCTTGAGCGAACATGCATTTTGAATTAATAAATTTGTTCCAAAAATGATTGAGAAACATCTTACTAGCAATGATTAGGCTATATAATTTGTTCTGGACGCCATCGCATATATTTACCAATTCAGAAAGTGCAGCTTATTAACAGTGTGACCAATCTGTGTGATTTTGGAAAGTTTTATTCTATTTTGTGGAATTTAGGCCCAATAAATTAGAGGTGTGTACTATGCCTACTTGTTTTGTCTGTTTCGTTACCTTACTTCGATTTTGCGAGCTTACAGGCTTTTTTCATGTGAGCTTCCACCACTTGCAGCCTATTAGTTGAGCTAAACAGGAGTCTGGTGCCTTATTGTGACATCTTGCTATCTCTGGTTCAGCTTAGTGTAACGGACTGTGAACTAAATTCTGATTTCAGATCAATAAGGACATCTAGTCATGCAGTCATTCTGCAGTTATTTATTTTATTATGCATGCCTTAGGTACCTATATTCCACAAGTGAAACAATCATTTTTTTATTCCCAATAAAATGTATGTTTTATTGTTGGGGATAAAGTAAGAAGACAGGCATGCCACGACATTCCAACATAAATTTCCCAAAGAACAAATCAGTCATATAAAGGCGAATTTTATTGATAGAACTGATTTCGCGATCAACGGGCCATAACGTCGAGCCCCACATGGTTTGATGTATTTTACGTGTTTTTTTTTCTATAGAGATGAATAACAGCCCTGCCTATGTTAAACCGATCCAATAAAATATTAAATTATTTTTATCGCCTCGCCAAAAAGTTTGCGGCTGGGAAAAAACTTTACGAGGTTTTTATCTATATTGGTTTAAAAATATAATATGATCAGACACGTAGTCTTTTTATGAATTTGATGATGACGTGAATTTAGAAATTAATTCAACTTACCGCAGGCCCAACGGATTGCTACAGCTAAAAAATCTGAAACAAAAAATACATAGTAAGATTCACCATTCATTTCTGTGAACAAAAAAAAACTAAGCTCCAATTGGGATTACTTCCGGATAACACACGAATAAGAGGTAAAATATATGTAAACTCGTATATATCTCTTGGCTTTGAAGACGAAGAAAATGTAATTTTCTGTTGAAACAAATCCTTATCGTACTGTCAGACATTTTCGTGCAGATTACTCGATTTGTATTGTGCTTACGTTTAAAATCTTCCAGCTTTAGATTGCAAAGAGATACAGTATTTCACAGTGATTTTACACTAAACAAACTTTTTGTATATTTGTTTGCTAAATTAAAATAGCTGACAAAACATCATACATTCCATATTTTCGAAACTGAAAAATAATCCTCTGCATTGGAAAATGTCGCAGTGCTCGAAAATGTACTTTTCATAATGCTGTTATATCAGCAATAAATTCAGTTTACAGTCGCGAAACTACGGTATCAAAGCGCAGTTCGGTGCCGCTCCTAATTGGATTTCGTTACCATTAATTGGGACAACAACGCGGGGTCCAAAACAATTTTGGTGACGCTAGTTGCTCCCCCTATTTTTTTTTTTGGTTGAAAAATGAAAGTTTGTAATCCTACAATAATATTCGATGGTATGAAATTAAAGGAGAATAGGGCTGAAGACTGCCCTGTTACTGAGCCTGATCTTGTGAACAAGTGGTGTCTAGTGCACAGGCGATAAAAGCTGTTTTTAAAGTATAGAGATTTGATCTCTCGTTGAGAATAAATAAAGGACCCCGCACACCTCTTATGGGTATTTGGTTTTCTAACCCAAACTCAATGAAATTTTGATATGTGTTAAACCTTGACTTCCTGATAAAAAGTTGTCATGGACCCGAACCAATCTTATGATTAGTTTTTGAGATACAGGTACTTCAATGTCCAAGAAATGTACACATTTTATATGCATTTACCGTTAATACAATCTTATAATATACCAGGATGGACAGGTATCCTCACACTCAGGTGACAGGTAGATGTAAATGCCTATAAAATGTGTACAGTGGGAATCATTGCAATTGGCTCATACTGTACTCTTTATTCGGTGCAGCGGTGTACAAATATTTTTTTCCTTCAACAGTTTATTGAAACCAGATTAAAACTATTATGTTCACTGATTTATCAATCTGACATGTGCCCCGCTTTATAGGTGAATAAAAATTTTAGAACGAAAAAAATAAATAAAAATGAAATAAAATTTTTCTACAACTGACAAGTAATGTCATTATTATTTTACGGTATTTAATGCGACGAATGTGTCATTTTTTAACAGGTGATAATTTTTCAAAGCAACGTGCGCTAAAAATTTCTCACCCTAGTGCGCGAAATATTTTAGTGCACTAGTGCGCGAAATATTTCAAAAAACAAAAAATACTCTGAATTAATTGAACTACAAATTTTTTTATTTTATTTATTGTTAACAATGTGAATAGTACAATTATTGCAGTTACTGATAGTAATTCCTGTTGATGTTGACTTAGCTGAAATATCTGAAGATACTCTTGTTGTGGATGGTGCAATTAGTGACTCAACATTTGGAAGAGTTGAATGATCACTACCATTATCATAATAATTTTGACCAGAGTCCTCATGTGTACTGCTTGAAGTACGTTTCGCAATTTCCATTTTATTTTGCACAGAATCCTCGACATATCCTTCTGCAACCATTGTGGACTTCCAGCCTCCGTGCCGCTTCAACATGGTAATATCAGCTCCGGTGTTGGCTAATAAAGTTGCCGAAGAACGGCGAAAACAGTGGCCGCTATACAATTCAGTTTGAGGTAGACCAAGAAATTTCGCTATCATACTAGGAGTTGCCTCTATTTTATTTATGCCAACAACTTGGTTTGTGCACTTTCTTTTCTGATAGTTAATGAAGAATCGTTTGCAGCTTACACGAGGGGGCCGAAATTCTGCGTATGTCTGGAATATTCGAATGTATTCAGGATTGATTACTGTGAATATTCTTTGGCCATTAGTTTTAGTATCTGTAATTATTAACACGGATCCTCCATCTTGAATATCATCAACCAACGGTCATTTTTACAAGCTCATCACGCCGGCAAGCTCCAGAGACTCCAATGATGAGCAGAACTTTGGACAGAAGGTAAAAGTCATCTGGAGCAGTAGTTAGAAATTTGGAAATATCCGCACTTGTGAATACCTTGGATTTTTTTTGGTCGATATCCTACCATCTGTTTTTTGAGGAATGGGACTATCTTCAAGTATTTCGTTACATCTACATTTTCTTTAACGTTTAAGGTGGATTTGAGGATGGAGTAAGTAGACCACAATGTAGACCCTTTTAAAGATTTTGCCTTTTCAGCTAAATAGGCCAAAAGAACATTTTCACTTACTGATCCAATGTTTTTTTTCTTTCGATATTTGTGAAACTGATCATATGCTATTTCATAATGTATTCTGGACTTAAATAGAAGAAGGTCTTGTACTGCCTCATTTGCGACTCGCGCAGTACCAGAAGATAATATTTTGTGAATCAAAATTCTTTTTGACAAATGTCAAACATTTACACGTAGATACGTCACATACCAGTCACATACCAAACGCTGCTTTGAAAATTTTCTTACTTGAAAGCAAGTATAGTATTTTTAATACCTATTTAGAAGTACCTGTCGTTTTAGTGACAAAACGTATGTCGCTTCTTGACACACAAATAAAATGAGGTTAGGAATTTCCTATTTGTAGATGAAATTGACGTATTAGCAATCGACGTTCGTTTTTGTTGGTAATTTTTTGTTTCATCTGATTCGTGATTAATAAATAAGGATAGGGTTATTCTAAATGGGTATTACAAATGCTATACCTATACATAATCGCAAAAGTCATTGTAAAATTTCAGATGCTGCAAGAAAAAATAATGTATACAACTCGGTTGCGAAAGAATTTCGCGGCTTCGCTTCATATTATGACTTGGCTTAGCCTCGTCATAATATTTGCTCATGCGCGAAATTCTATTTCGCAACCTTGTTATACAGGATGTCCCACGGTGGATGGCGTATTAGACGTTTATGGAGAACTAAAAAGCGGATCGTTCTGAAAACTTGGCAACCGGGGTAAACAGCCATGATCTACACTTTAAAAATATTTTTGTTTATGTGGTGTTGCCGCTCCTACTTTAAACCAGTGGCAACAGCGCTATTTTAAATGGAACACCCTGTATGTGATTACATATTTTGATTCAACGTAAAATTCTGAGCAGATTTCATGTGATAGACCCTATACCTAAGTTCAACAATTTCGTATAAATAACTATTTATGGATACTTGAGATTGCAGGACTGATGGTCGGAGTGCGTGCAAATTATGCCCTCGTTCAGAACTAAACAATTCGGAGAGTAGGGGTGGGTTTATTTTTGGGCGCCACCGACTTAGGACAGATGAGTCGGAGACGTGACATTTCTTCAACGAAATAATTAGTCCGGCCTGACGCAAGCGGTCGAATACAACCTCCAAAAGTCGCAAATTTTCTGAAAAAAGAGTTGGAAATTATCACTACGTCATCAATGTAGCACATGACATTTGGTTCGAGTTATTTGCCAGGTTGCAGGAGCATTAGATAAGCCAAATGGCATCCGACAGAATTGAAAGAGTCCTCTACCAGGGACAGTAAATGCAGTGTACTTCTTGGAAGATGTACTCAAAGGGACCTGCCAAAATGCTGACTTAATATCGATAGAACTGATATATCGAGTCTCCCTTAACCGATTCAAAATGGTTGAAATATATAGAAGAGGATATGCATCTTTTTTTTATATATTTATTGACCTGCCTAAAATCGATGCAACATCTGAAGGATTCATCCTTTTTCCGAGCAAGGCACACAGGACTAGACCAAAGACTACTAGAATGCTCAATGACTGCTAACTTCAACATTTCCTCAACTTCGTCATCTATAAACTTTTGTTTGAAGGGAGAGACAGGGTAATACCTTTGTTTTATGGATCTTGTACCAGGATCTATAATGATTTCTGGCTCAGCTACCTTGCAGCAACCGAGTCCAGTACCCAAACATCTTGTCTAAGATCTGGGATAATCTTCATTGTTTTCCAGAAGTCTATTCCAACAATAATTTTATGTGAAAGTTCAGGAAGTACGATGACATCAATAATGTAAGTTTTGTGCATTAAGGTTATGGGTGTCTGAATGTAACCTATGCTTGTGCAAGTTTGGCTATTAGCCATAGTGCAAGAATTTTGTTGTTTTACCAACTTCAAACCTAAGCTCAAAAAAGTGTGGCAGCAGGCAACCCAACCAGAGTACGACTAGCACCCAAGTCAAGTAGACCTAACATAGGATATCCCAATATTTTAATTGCAAGGTATGGACGCTGATCACCTCGCGCATGTGATACAATCTAGTCCAGAAGGAGCCTATTACCAAAATCATCAAGGTTATTGACCGCTGGGGTGTGTAGGAAAGAAATCTCGCGACCTAATGATTTCCCCTGGGACCGTTTCCCGAGTTACCACATTTAGGACAATTCCTAACTGTGACGTTAGGGTTACCACATCGATAGCAATGAATTTTCCTAGGGTTGGACAATTTCTTTTTAAATGACCGGATTTCTGGCAATTCCAACAAATTAAATTGGGTGAATTACTTAGTGGTCTTGACCTTTGAGGACCATTGTTGGGTAAATCTACTCTGTTAATACCAAAGGAATCTGCATCGTTGTTCAAGACAGAATTCGTCAAATCGGAGTTAGGTTGATCAACCCCAACAAAGGCAAAATCAGGTTCTACAAATTGTTGACGTTTAATGGTAGGTGGAACATAATGTTCAACTCTATATTTCTTCATCTCCAGCTTAAGACATTCACGTTCCAGTTCTTCAAGTGAGTTAACAACTCGGAGTTGAGTTGTGTAGAATGGTGATAAATTCTTAGACAAAATATCCAATTGGGTTTCCGGAGTCAATCCATCGTAACGTCTAAACAAGG